ACTGCAATGACTACAGGAACAAGCAACACTAGGGCCAAAATCAGTCTCAACTTTTCCTTCTCCAGGCCCTGAACCCAAAGAGACTCTTCCCAATAGCCAGAGGTTTTTGCTGCATCACTAACAGGCATAATTGAAGCAGTGGTGGAGATGGGTAGGAGGATAGAGGGGAAAATGAGCAAGCACCCCCTTGCAATGCTCAGTTCAGCTGCTTTTGGCACCTCTGATACAATCACCATGTTATCTTGGCATCCTTCAGCACCTCTCACCTCCGTCTTCTGCTCCCACCACACCATTCTGCAACCCAGCACAAAGGAGAGGGGACCAACGGGGCCGCATTCCACTCCAGATGGGCAGCCTCCTTGTGTGTCGTCGAGATGTGGTGTGGGCCCAACGTGCAGCACTTCTAGGGCAGTATACTTGCTGATTGCTTCCTTGATTATTGCTCACAACAACCAGCTAAGACACTGCCAAAGAAACACTCACAGCTGGCATTAACTGACGAGATGGGAGCTGTGGCAGGTTATTCTGTCTCCCTTTTTCTTTCTCTGACTGAAAAACGGTAGGAGAATCTGGGGACAAAGAAACAATCAATAAACAAACAGCTAAAACAGCGAGGAAAAAAAGTGTGACTCTCCAGAGAGATTCAAAATTAGACATGCAACATAATCTCAGATACAGCCTGTTGAAACAACAAAGAAAGCCAGCTCCTGTTTGGATTCCGTACTTACCTACCTTAGTCCTCTAGTTCCAGAGAGCCTCCTTCAGGAGAATGGAAATATTACTCATTTCCAAATGCCTAACACACAGCTTCTGAGACACATGTGTGGTTTCCCTTAAGTGCACACGGCCATTTTTGAGCCATGCTCAGGATTGGAGAAGAACTCACTCTGAGCAGATCCATCTGCAAATGAAACAGAAAAAGGGCCCCATTCTTATTTACACTAAGTCCACTATCACTTCCCTTTACCCAGCCAGAATGAGAACGAAAATGTCAACTTTGATTACTTAAAAAGAACGTTTACCCTTAAGGTCTAATCCTAAATGCTGTGAGCCTTCCCTAAGGGCCTTTGGTACTAGGGTTAACACCCCTGTGCAACAACAGGATGTGCTATATGGCAGCCCATCCTTTCTTCTGTACAGATTTTCCTGTCTATTTTCCATTGCATGGTCAGCTGGCAATGCTATAGAATATCCTCTACTCCCTCTATCTTACCTCTTACTTCCCTGTTGGCCTGGGTTAGAGTCTCAATCTTGGATGTGAGCGGAGGTTTGTGTGTGTGGACAGTAGCTGAACTAGGAGCACTGCCACAGTGACTTCTTTTAGTGACCTAGTTTTGCTCCCAGAGAAACCACATCTTCTTGGGTCCAAAACCAAATCTTTTTAACTTGTCAGAAATTGAGGCTAGAAAATTTTAAACAGGAAATAAGACTAAAATCAACAAACTATATCTAGAGTATTTAGGCTCTGGTGCAGATTACCAAGGGATGTGGCAGTCTCTTGGCACTTGGAGGCATTATATCGAGACTGGATGTCTTCCTAAAAAGCATCCCCAGGTCCAGTCCACTATTGGGCTTGATGGTGGAATCACTGGTTGAAGTTCTGTAGCCTGTGTTAAGCTGGAGGTCTTAACCGTCATCTTAACTCTTAACCATGTTAACTTTTTGAATGGTCAGGGTTGGATTTCCAATTAGGCACATGCCTCTGGGCACTGGTGTTCTAGGTAGGGATATGAAAGTGTAACCATGTATACAGTTAACCGATGAGCCTGGGCTCATTGGTTAATGTGCACAGTTACATGCAGCCTCTTCCCCCCCCCTGTGCTGCTGCCTCTGTATCAGAGGCAGCAGCAGGAGGCAGACAGGAGCTTGCACATGCGGGGAGCCAGCTTTCAAACCAACTCCCCACGCATACCGGTTCCCGTGGAGCTGCCTGCCCCCACATGTAAATTGCATAATCGCTGAAATTTTCAGTGGTTACACAATTACTTAATTAAACACATTTTAACAACCCTAGTTCGAAGGACACCCCGAAATTAAAAGTGGATTAAAAGCTGCATTTTTTTAAATAGAAAACATGAATGTCGGCTGCAAGTGGTGGGGAGGGAGTACTGAAGATGCTGTGCCTAGGGGCGCGTAGAGGCATAAATCCAGCTCTGCAAATGGTCTGTCTGAGGAGGTCAACTGATGGAGTGAGCAATAGTAACTGCACTCCAATAAAACCAGTGCAGCAAAGAGCAGGGGTGACCAGCAGTGCAACCAGTCCATCCCAGAGGAGGCAATTGTTATTTAAGCAGCTGAATCACCCCAGCAAGAAAGTCAGAGGGTCAAACAAGCGGTATAACAATCACCTCCCAGGCTGGTGAGTGATCTGCCCCTTCCCTAGCACCCAGACAGCCCAAAATCTGGAACTAGCTGCTTTGTTTGAATAGTGATCTAACCGGCACTCCAGTATGCCTTGTCAGTATCAAAACAAGTCAGACTTTATCTCAAAAGCAAATAGTTCACTGATGTGCCTTCCTGGGGCACAAAGCAGTCAAATGCAGAAATGGGAGGAGGGGACACTGGTATTTCAAGTCACCTTCTCTGTGATGTCTGTGAGACTGGAATAGCTTCTCTGGAGAAATGGTAGAAGCCCCATCACTTGGGCTTCTGAAAACTGGACAGGACAAACTCCAGGAGAAAATTTTGTATGGGTAGGGCAAGAGGTGCAGGCTAGTTGACCTAGTCAGTTTCATATCTCTGGGCTACTTAGTGCAATGATTTGGGCAGATTAAAGCCAGCAAATGCTTAGCTCTTCTAGACTACTTCTAGACTGCAGAGTTTTTGCACCAAAAACAGCTGGTTTTGAGCAAAAACTTACGGAGTGTCCACACTACAAGCGCATTTTTGTGCAAGAAAATTTACAGTAAATCAGAAGAAGAGAGGGCTTTTTTCACAATAGTTATTCCTCTTTCTATGAGGAATAAGCCTTTTTGTGAAAGAGCTCTTGCGCAAAATGGTGTGTGTGGATGGGAAATGGGGTTTTTTTGCACAAAAACAGCCTATAGAAAGAAGCACAGGTGCCCTGGTGACCATTCTGTTAATGGCAATCAGATCTTTCTTGCAGAAGAGCATCCATGCAGTCTGGACATTCTCTTGCACAAAAGTGCATTGCTTTTCTGATGCACTTTTGCAGTGTGGACGCGCTCTTGTGCAAGAAGCATGCAGTCTAGATGTAGATCTATAATGCTTTTCATCTGCAGAGCTCAAAGTGCTCTGACAAGGGAGGGTGCCAATAATCCAACTCTGCTAGTGCTGTGGGGAATATGAGCCAACATGATAACTCTCTATCACAGTGGTGGGCAACCTGCGAGGTTGTGTGCGTGGCCTGTGAGATATTTTGTTTACTGTTTGGAAGCAAAACAGTTTAGGAAGTTGGAGCAAGTGTCATATGTGGGAGATTAAAAAGACTGGAACTTTTAATCTTAGAAAAGAGGAGACTAAGGCAGGATATGATAGAGATCATAAAATCATGACAGGTGTGGAGAAAGTGAATAAGGAAAAGTTATTTCTTGTTCCCATAACATAAGAACTAGGGGTCACCAAATGAAATTAATAGGCAGCAGGTTTAAAACAAACAAAAGGAAGTTTTTCTTCATGCAGCACACAGTAACCTGTGGAACTCCTTGCCATAGGAGGTTGTGAAGACCAGGACTTTAACAGGGTCCAAGAAAGAATTAAATTCATGGAGGTTAGGTCCATCAATACTTATGAGCCAAAATGGGTAGGAATGGTGTCGCTAGCCTCCGTTTGTCAGTGGCTGGAAATGGATGACAGGAAAGGGATCACTTGATGATTTCCTGTTCTCTTAACTCCCTTTGAGGCATCTGGCATTGGACACTGTCAAAAGACAGGATACTGGGCTAGATGGACATTTGGTCTGACTCAGGGTATGTCCACATTGCAGTTTTTTGGGGTTTTTTTTGTTTTGTTTTGTTTTGAAAAACAGCCATTTTTCCGGAAAAACTTCACTTACATCCACACTGCAATTGTGTTCTTTCAAAAAAACTCCAAAGAACAGAGGTGTTTTTCCAACACTGGTAAACCTCCTTCTACGAGGAAGAAGCCTTTTTCCAAAAGAGCTCTTTCGGAAAAAGGCATGTGTGGATGGGGAAGAGGAGTTATTTCGAAAGAAGAGGAAAAAGGAAAAAGCACAGGTGCCCTGGTGGCCACTCCATCCATAGTAATCACAGCTTTCATGCGAGATAATGTCCATTCAGTGTGGACTCTATATTTCAAAAAAGCAGATTGCTTTTTCAATGTGCTTTTGCTATGCAGATGCTCTGTTTCGGAAGAATTTTTTTCCTATGATCTCTTCTGGAAAAGCTTCTTCCGAAAGAAGCCTGCAGTCTAGACATAGCCCCAGTATGGCCACACACGGAGTTGTCAGATTCCATTGGTTTCTGTCCATATAGCTTTTTTTCCCTACTGGTGTTACTAAAGTGACACGCATGTAAAGCCAGACCACATGAAGGGAGGTGCGTACTGCTTGCACACGACACTGACTGAGATCCGTGTGCTCCCTCTGCATCCAATCAAAGCGCTGCTACGGTTCAATCGGCACAGTCCGCAAATACTAGACATGCGAATGCAGTGAGCAAAACTACCCTATCCCGGGAGAACGTCTTGGTTACAACAATCTTGTGGCCCACTGGGATGAAGATGGGCCACTTATGTGGCCCACCCACTAGTCTAGGTTGGCCATCGTTGCCTTACAGACTTCTACTCAAACCTCCATGGATGAGCAGTTCAATTGAATGCACATGCTGCACCACCAAAGTGGGGACGAGGAGGTGGAGAACAAGGCATCGCTGTCTCTCAGCTATTTAGGGCTAATCTACTCAAGCATTCAACTACAAGTTGCTGGAACCAAGTTTGACATGATTTAATCTCTCCATTAGGTCTAACTAGTTGGAATCTAGCTCCAGGAAGACATGCAGAGATCTCTGCTTGGGGTTTTGTTTCATCTTTGCCAAGAGCACCAGAAGCCAATACATTTTAGATCATAATGCAGCACCTAATGCAAGAAACCAGCAGAAGATCTCCCAAGTCCCCAGGGTCTCGGAAGGTCAAATCAGATGCTGCAGCTCATGGGTTTGGGACTGGCAGAGCCAATCTGCTCTTTAATTGTGTGCACATGAGGACTGGAGAGGGGAAACTCCAGTTGAGGTGGGAAGAAGGAGCTTGATTTGGGTGAATGAGAGTCCCTCTGCAACCACAGGAAGAACTTTGAAATATCCTGTTGGATGGGGCTATGTTATATGTCCAGAAATAACGATGAACCCGCAGAGATATGTGGTTGCAATGTATTATATTTTGCCTATGTATTATATTTTGAAGCGTTTGTTTGTGGATTTGTTTGTGCAAAATAAAGTCATACTTCGCGATTACCTACAGATTCCAAATTTTGCATGAACAATCCTGCCACTTAAATTAGCTGAATGCACTACTTTTTACACCAGAATATGCTGGGTGAAGGGTTTAAATAATTATATTTATTTTTCATTGGGAAAAAAGTCATGACTATTATGATTAGAGTTCATAAAAATATTTGCTAACAAAATTAAAATCGAGTTGCCTATTCAACTGTCATTTTAGTGCAAAGAAAATGTGTACTGTTAGAAATCATAAAATAATTGAAATTCGTTACGGAAAGAATAATGGACGCATTACATGTTTGATTCAAATTTACTATCATGGTAATTATTCAATAAAATGAATAATGTTTGAAGTTGAAATCCTACAGCACATTAATAAAGAATTCTATTACATATATTTAATTTCTTGAACTTTCCTATACGAGTAATCTACGCAAAATTATTTTGCCCGGTCAATGATGATCCTCAGCTAGGGATGTAATAGTGTAGTCAATTAACCGATTAACCAATAAGCAAAAGCTTATAGGTTAATGCTATAGACTACATGCATTTCCCTCTCCCACCCCTTGCCAGTAAATTTTTTAGCAGGCTGGCCAGCAGCCTGACTCAGTTTTGGCTTGCACCAGGTCTGGGAGCTCAGACCCCCCCCCAGACAAGCACTGCTGCCTCTTTATCAGAGGTAAGATGCAGGAGCGGACTGATGGTGGGAGGACCTGGGTGGGACAGAGGGTGCAGGAGCAGAGTGGGGATGTGGGGTCTCAGTAGGAGGGAGCATGAAAGTGTTGGGGGCATTTACTTGGCTCTGTGCCTCCAGCCACTCCCAGGCACCACCCCCTGCTGCTCCCATTTGCCATGATTCCAGCCAATGGGAGCAGTGGGCAAAGCCTCCAGGCGAGCAGTTTCCTGCGCTGCCATTCCCCCTTGGAGCCGCTTCCTGCCCCCATTAGCCGGATTCAGCTTGTGAGACTCCCCCCTCCCCACCGTAGGAAGCTGGAGGGGGGGGGGGGGAAGGAAGGAGCAGGAGTGTCATCATGGACTCCCCACTGCAGGGAAGGGGGTGAGCCCCAAGCCCGCAGCCCACCTGCAAGATGGTGCTAGATGCTGTGCAGAGACATACCTGGAAAGAACAGTCTTGCACAAAAGAGCTTACAATATAAATCTCTGAATATCTAGAAGGCATTAGGACATCCCGAACAATATGTTAGCTCCTCTTTCCAGTCTATTAAGAGTTATTCAAAAAAGGTAATTTTTCCCTCTTAGGTTGGACCTAAGATCAGAGTGCCATGAAGGCAACTGAGTGCACACACACACACGGACACACACGGAACATCTGATGGCATGCCACTAAAATCTTTATGCCATACTCTGAGTCTGGGATGTCTGGATTTCTCATAAGCAGGAAACAGATATGCCTCCTCCATGGACACTGGAGGGGATTTGTCACCAGAAATTGTGGCCTATATGTCATTGATCCATGTATATTTTAAAAGCTGTGTGAAGGAAGTGAAGGGGTAGGAGGGGAAGCATCATCTTCCTTTGCAAAGAGCCAGGGTCATTTCATTCACACTGTGCCCCATGCTGCTGCAGAAAAGGCGGGCATTTGTGACGTGTAAGAGGGAATTTGTTTGCTCTTTCATTTCCAGCCAGATGGAGGTTCTCTCTGGTGGGCTGCCCAAGAACCAGCTGTGGCACAAAACAAAGCTCACTCGTGTAGAAAGAGAACTGGAAGAGTTTTGCTTGGCAGTGTTGGTCCTGGACAGTCACTGAAGTGACTGTATTTCCTTTGTCCAAGCAGCCATTGTTTCACTCCCCACTGCTCCAAGTTCCCATCTAACTTACTCCCCCTCTAATGTACTCCAATTTCCCATCTAACGTTTTCACGGTGGTGTGTGTTTTATAGCATGACTACTGTGGAGCAAAGGCAACAGAGATGCTGGTGAAACTTCAATGGGGTTAAGTCGTGCACAGAAACACAGGGGTTCCCTCTGGAAAGGCTGCCAACCAGGATTTGTGGGGGGAAGGATGCAAGAAAGATGTAACCCCCCACTTCCAGTTGCCTTTCCTAGTACAACTCAGCTCTTTGGTGCGCAAATTACACCAGCTCACACCAACTCTGGATTTAGATCCCAATCTATTGCTTTCTTTGGTGGGCCTTGGCTGTTCATTGGAGCAGACCTGCTGACGGGGGGCACAGGGAGGGGACAAAGGGAGCAGTTGCCCTGGGGCCTGGAGCTACAAAGGGGCTCAGGGCTTCCGGCCACCATTGCTGCTACTCTTCGATGAAGGAAGTGAAGGGGTGGCTGCCTCTGGCCTTGCCCCTTTCACCCGGGGCCCTGCCACTTCTGGGAATGCAGAGCTGGGCCTTGTCACACCTTGCCCAGGGGCCCATGCAGGCTGTCGGCTCCCCTGCATTTGAGATATTAGAAGGACACAGAACTGGAAGCTTCCATGCTCCACCCTTGCCTTACCAGTCTGGGTGGTGGAGTAGCGAGCAGGAAGAAACTGCTTGTGGATCATGTCACAATACAACAGATTAACCCACAAAGAGAAAATGAGTGTGAGTCACTCTATTATGGGGCGGCCACACATGGGCTGCGTCTATACTGCGCTCTTTTGTGGAAGAAAACATGCAAATGAGGCGAATTGGTGAATAACGCCATGCCTCCTTTGCATACTTAATGAGCCGCCATTTTTGCAGTAGGGGCTGTTACGCAAAAAGCAGCCCTCTACACGGCTCCGTTTTGCACAAACCGCCCCCCTCTTGCGCAAGAGCCGTTCTGCCACTTTTTTTCAGGGAGAATGGCTCTTGCACAAGAGGGGTTTTTTGCGCAAAACGGATCCGTGTAGATGGCTCCTTTTGGTGCAAAAGCCCCTTGTGCAAAATGGCGGCTCATTAAGTATGCAAATGAAGCGCAGCGATATTCACCACTTCACCTCATTTGCATATTTTCTTGCGCAAGGGAGCGCAGTATAGACGTAGACTGGGATTTGTGAGTCACATGCGGCTCTTTTACTATGAAAGTGTCGCTTGCAGCGCTACCTCCCATTCTCTGACTACTACACTGAGGTGGTAGGAGGAACTTGGGATCTCTGTCTTGCAGCAGGGTGGTCTGATAGGGGCTTCTGCCCACTGTCTTGGGGCTTCTGCCC